ACAACCACAACAACAGCTACAATACACAACGCGTTCCAGCAACTACAACCCACAGCTGCTCCGAGGCGATACACAGACCGCAACACAACGACCGAAACGATGGCACACATATTCCTTATTTTTTTACATACCCTGTAACCTGAATAAAGAGCATAATATAGTTGTGCAAATGTAGGTAACCGATTAAAGGAGATGTTTACGGCTACTTCAAGTAAATGAATCAATAGACGAGCCAATGTAGATATCGATAATTAGTCCGTATCTCCAAAGTTGATTAACTGTCGATTACCAAGTTCCAATGTTTTGAATGTGATTTAAAGTTTAAAATGGCTTTCCATTTTTGATAATGATCAGACAATTAACAGGGTATCTTCTGGCCGTGCAGCTTTGCCTTGATGATTTCTGATTTTATTTTATATTTTATAATTTTCACATTGTCTGCCACACGTATTTTAAAGTAAATGTTACGAGGCGGAGCTGACCAAATGGCCTGGCAAGCCCATTCTTCCATTCTCTCCCATATGGGCATTATTATACATGATTATGGAATTTCAGCAATTATTATTAATGAAGCTATGAATGTCTCACGCATGCTACTGACAATTCACACACACACCCGCTTACCGGCGCAATCCATATATTTCCTTGTAAATTATAATTAAACCAACGCCAGCTTGGCAGTGCACATTTCCCATTGCGTATACGCAATGTGGTCCCCTCCGCTCATACATGTACGTATATATTTGCTCTAACTGTTCGTTTGCCATGCACGATTAGTTAAATTGCATTGGAAATGAAGTTGGCAGCTGCTCAACTTTTCGTCTCGTCCTCTTCTAATTTAAATATGCGCATGCAAGTCTGAGAGACATGGAGAAAAAGTGAAATGATGTAGGAAATTGTTTGCTAGCTCTCAAGCGTTAAGTTGAATTATTTAAGTCGCTGTTTTTCTTCTCCTTTTTTTGTGCATAAGAGTCTACCGAGAGTTGATTAGTCAAATTGGGTGTAAAAAGACAATTGTGACACAGGACTTTTAACAAATGTTTTAAATATATAGAAATTATATTAAACTAGTCAGACTTTTTCAGTTTTTTTTACATATTATAATAATATAAATTGGTATGTTTTTTATTTAGCATTAGTCTCAAAATTTAAAACAATTTGAACTAATTGCAAATATATTTTTATTTTGAAAAAGCATCGAGGAATTTTGTGTTCTTTTAAAGTTGTTCTTCACAGAAGACTCCTGCTTAAAGTTGGGCTGCATACTTGTTGGAAGTGAGCCGGAGAAACTTGATTCAATTACTTAGCGACTGGCAGTTAAAATAAATGGTGGCTTGAGTGCACACGCTGGATTTACTAGTAATTTACTGCTCAGACACATGCACACACAGATGCACAGACAGCTGCACACATACACACATGTGATACAGCGCATACCATGGCAGCTTTTGCATACCACTTTGACATTCTACTGCAGCTTTTGTATGCAGTTTGTCGGCATCGTTTTTTAAAAACTAAAGGTTGGGGGGCTGGTGGGGTTGATGGCTGCGCCCGCAGCTAAAATGCCGGCAAGGCAGCGACACAAAAGACTGTCTCGTTCTCCTGGCCGCAACCATTTAACAAAAAAAAAAAGGAAGAAAAAATCTAATGAATTAAAATCTGAAATGAATTAGTTTTTCAGCTACAGATTTTATGGCCGTTGGCAGTTTGTTGTGTCTGTGTGTGTGTAAATGTGCTTGTGAGAAAGAGTGGGGCATATAGAGAGGAATGGAAAAAATGATGAGTGGAACTGCCATTTTATCCTGTCTGTGATCAAAGGATCAAAGAAAGTGCACATGTGAAAAGCAAATGAAGAGAAAAAATGTGGGCAAAGGCACGCAAAACTCTGACAAAAGCGACTATGTACATTAAGTCTATATGTGTAAGTGTGTGTATGTGAGTTTATCTAAAAAGTAGTAAATACTCATATATTTTGTGGCAATCATTTTATCGGCAATCGAGTTGCTTATCGATATATTCGTATGAGAATATAGTACAGTATAGATAATATTGAAACCAAATTTACTTTAATATATGTACCTGAACATTATATCGAATGCAAAATATTTGAATATCGATTTAAGTTCTTTTTACTGTGAAGATACTCTAATAGATGTTTATATAATATATTAACAATTGCATTCAGCGGAATATGCGTGCCGATAATTTATTAATTTCTTTAATTGTTCACAAACTGATAATTTATTTATTCTTAAATATGTTCAATTTATCGAACATATTTCAATATTTATCGATAGACAATTACATCTTAATATATCGTAGATATTTGTTTGTTTGCTTTACCCGTGCAGTTTCTCACGGAACACGCATGCTGTTGAATGGTTAACACCTGATAACACCTTGATAGCATTGATTATATTTAGCAAAAATAATTTTTAGTTATTTGCACAACTTCGTGTGGTCATTTTTAATACTCGCCAATTGCAGAGGCGAAATGTAATTGGCCAGCGGCAGCCTCCACATAAAACATTTAAAGTCAATTAACCGACAATGCATTAACTCGCGTGAGTCACGCCTATACAAATAAATAATAATAGCACTTACATACACATGCATTGTATAATAACTAATTATTATTAATATTATTTAATGTTCATTTGGCCAATGTTGCAAAACATGCAAAAAAAACAACAAAATAACAACGAGAACAACAACAACAGGTAACACGAACAGATAACAATAATTTAGTTGGTGGTAATTTGTAAAACACGTCTCGCTCTTCCACCTATTCCAAAAATTGTGCAAAATAATTTTCACATTTTGGCTTTTTGCAATTAAAGCAAAATTCCATTCTCATTCTCATTTGTTGTTCGCATTGTTGCCCACACCCTCAGCCGATTTCCCCGCAACATTTGTGTTGTATGCAAATGTGAACTTTGCGTTAATTAGACGTGCACAAAATAAACAAAAAACAAATCGAAAAATTCGAATGCAAATAAAAATAATAGTTTACCCAGCTGAAATAGACAAAATACTGTGGCATCGTGCACAAAAACAAGAGAATGTTACCTAAATTAATTTATGCATAACATCAAAGAGAAATCGCTGATATTTTATGAGGATGCGAGTTTCGTGATATTAAAGATTAATCGAAAAGCAAATTTTTCATAACAAAAGTTACATTGGTAGAATTTAATTTAATATAAATAATAATTTTTTATTTTTATTATATAGATATATATATTTATATATTATATTATTTTTATATTATCTGCATATAAGCTTGAAACTAAATGTTCTTTTATTAAGTTTACCTAATTTAACGATAATTTTCTTCAGAATAAAAAAGTCTTGAGTTTTTTAAGTACAGGTACATATATGTTGGGCTGGCAGCTCTGCCAGATAGAGATATCGATGAGAGCCTGTAGCAGCCGATAAAATGTTAGACGTATCTTATGTAACAGAAGGAAAGGTACGAAAACAGGGAAAAGAGTTGGGTTCGAGCTTCTGAAGCGAAGAAACGGGCATGTGATCTCGCTGACCATAAGAACTATAATTTATCAAGTGAATAAGAGAATATGTATATAGATATTAAACTAAAAGAAGTGTGATCAGAGCGGCAGACCACGTAGCTGGTGGATTGCGATCGGAATAGTTTAGCCAACATGAGAACCTTAAGATCCCATGCCAGAGACCAGTTATGAATAAGCCAAGGTGCTGTTGCGCCATAATAAACAAGCGAAGCTAGCTGGTTAGCCCAGTTATTCATAATTGCTTATCAAATATTCATAAAATAGCTGTTCCTTTGTTTTTTATTTTTAACTATTACTTAGCCCAATTAATCGCAATTTCCTATTACAAAGTAATGGGCTTATTGCACTTATTGATAAATCATATGTTTGTGACTCTTGCACTGAGTAATAGGTTATCGTTGAAAGTGTTATGTGTCACATTAAATTATAGTATATTTATTTCGATAAGTCAAACATTTGAGAATATTTTACTTTTCACTTACAATTTGCGTCCTGTCGAGTAAATTGTCACAAATAAATATGTATTTAAATTTGAAAATCATTTAAAATGTTTCTTTTTTTTTTTTTTTTTTGTTTGTTTATTGTATTGAATCAAAAATAGCATACATTTTTATTACAACACAGTTGGCTTAGGTGATATTACGCCAAGCCTGGTTGAGTCCTCAGGATTTATCGATTCTGAAACCATTAATAACTCAAAGATCCCTTGCAGAAGCTCATTTGACCGGACACGTACATGTTTTATTGTATCAAAAATTCGTTTCCTTTTTGTGTATATTACTTTCTAGTTGGCAAATGTATCCTACAAATTACGATTATTGAATTTAAAAAAAAAAAAATAGTAGCTAAAAACAGAATCTTGATAAAGAATTTTCAAAAATTTGATAAAAAACACAAGCCCCTAAATTTATATAAAATATCTTGAAGGTTAATATTTTTCTTAGATGTCCATTAAATAGCATAGTTCAATAAACTATATAGTTATGTAAGCTTCTTTTTGTATACTTTGGTTTCTTCTTTTAATTATGCCAAGTAAAATTATAATTTCCACCAAAAAATGTTGAGCATTTAGCATTGAGTTTTGTAAAGAATTAAAATTTCTGTGCACTTTAAATTCCAAGGTAGGCACCGAGTTTTCTCAATTCTTAACTTTGGCTTCCGTCAAGTTTTTTTTCTGTCGTGAAGGAAACATTTTTCCCGGCTGCAGTTTACTCACTGAAGTGGTTTTTAATTTGAATACTTTAGGTTTTGTGCGCCCAAAACTCTTGAGTCCTGTCGGCCGCACAAGGTAAAGTCGTGTACTCCCTTTTTTTTTGGTAGTGGTTGGGTGGGGCTGCTTGAACCTGTGTTTTGACCTTTTTGATTTGCATTTTGTTTTGTGCCGTTTAACATTTAGCTAAATATTAAAAAATACCACAAATATTATTTTGTTTTACTAAAAAGATTTGTTTTTCTTTCTACTTGCAGGCTACGCAAAAGATATTTCCGGAGTTGAAAGAGGTAAGCAACGAGCTTGTGCCAGACACATTACGACTATCAATGCAATTTAATGGCAAACGTCTCGCTAGTTCTCTCTACCCCAACTCCTAAAAAAAAGGCACTTGTGTGCACTCACTTAACCATAAATTTGTCAAGCAAACATACTCAAAAGTAAGACTGGGTAGTCTTGCGGGCGGTGCCCGTCTATGTATAAAGCAGAAACTGAAACCGAAACTCGTAACTCAAATATTTAATACGCTTAAGAGCGCAATGAGAAATGGTAAAAGGTTTAAGTAGAGAAATATGTGAATGTCGAACTACTCTTGTAATTATACCGTAGATATTTAATAATTAGCTCTGCATGAAAATGAATGTTTTAAATAATTTTGTTATATGTTCTAGCTAACCTTATTAAATATTAACGTAAGTTTTTTAGCGCATACTAATAGGCCACATTAAAAAACTCAACACGTTTTTATTCAATAATTTTTGAAGGCTTAGAGAGCGTTAAAAATAACTCATACGAGCCCATAATCGCAGCGCGTACATTGTCTAAGTCCGAATCATTTTTGCTTAATCACTTTTACAAATATAAACAATTTCATAAATTGCCTAAGACGTTCATTTATATTACCATAATTCGTATAAGTTGTTACAAAAAAAGAAAAACAAAGCCAACGAAAAGTCTGGCTATGCTAAAATAGATACAAACTTCCTATTGCCTGCCAACAAATTGCAGCTGTGTGTTTGGGGCTTTGGGTTCGGTCTTGGGCCAGGCCCATAAACTAGCCGAAAATGCCGAAAGACCGCTAAATGTTGGCCGGAAAAACTCCATGTGCAGCTTTTACTGCGCTCTTGGACCATTCACACGCCGGCACTTCCCCCAACCAGGCTGCGAATGCTCCCTGTAGTGCAATTTATTACACGTATGTGTCGACAAAAATGTTTAAAAAAAATTGCGGTACAGTGGAAGATTAGTCAAAATCAAATTCAAATTTGAATAGGTTCTTAATACATAAAAATGGCAAACATTTATACAAAACATTTCAAAAACCCATCACAGTATTTATAGTTAATATAAAAATCTTCACATGGAAGTGAACTAAAATAAATTGCTTGTGATATTTATTTAGGTTATAGATTTTTATAAGTTACAGCATTAAAAAATGAGTAAATAATTTATTACCCATTTATTTTTGGTAACTATATTTTTTTCATTACTTGTACTCCTAGCTTGGTCCCACTGTGTTGTTAGGGCCAACTTTGCAATCGTCTCAGTCGTTTGTAAGTCCCGCTAGTCCATGCAGGTTGCGTTGTTGACTTGTCCGTCTGTCGTCTGGCTGGCTTCAATTGAAGCGCGGCTGGTGGGGTAAAGCAGGAGCTGGTGCTGCCAAAGTTGTTGCCACACATGCAAATGCTCGCTGCATACTGCACGGCGTGGTAACTGGGCGTGGCACAACACACACATACTATGACACAGAACATAAATGTACGTACGCGCACATTTTTGGCTTGGGTTTGTTTTTGTTAGCTTTTTTTATATTTATTTTATGATTCACTGTCGCGCCTGCCCGCCAGCTTCGAGTAGCTGGCTGCCTACAATGGCACAAAATCAATGAAGCTCTTGGCAGAAGCAAAATGGCCGGCAGTCCGGCCAACTCCAGCCGGCTCATACCGCCCTGGCAGTTCACTGTCATTATTTATTGAAAATATAGTTTGATGAGTTTTTACTTGGCCAACGCGCTGTACATTGAACTGGTTTAACTGTAGACACGCCTACGGACCTGGCTCAGCCTCAGTTTCAACATTCACAGCCAGCAGCTGCTGCTGCCGTTTGTTGTTCCTGTCCCGTTGCGGTCAATGTAATGGTTTTTGTGGGCTGCTTTGGCTGCGTCTGAAAATTGGTTAAATCGGTAAACTTTTGGCCAACCACTTGTTTTTCTGAGGCTTTAACTTGAAAACTATGTGGGCAGTGGCCCAAAATGTTGCCCAAAATTGCCTGCATTTGCTCAAGTTAGCTTATTTTGTTTCACATGGAGTGGATTCAAGGGCTATGGGGCTTAAGATTTTTATACTTTTATACTTTTACTGTTCCACTTATAAGCGTAGAAAATGGGTGATATTTATATTTCATATTTTCATATTTCATATTTTTAGGTTATGAAGAAAAATCTATATAAAATATATATGGATGTAATTTCAAGATATTAAAATGAATGAAATGATATTAAAAAATATTAACATATTTATAAAAATATGGTAGGAATCATTTGAATATATTGTCCACAGATCTATGGGTAAGATCTTGCATAAGCACTTTCCCCCATTCCATTTGAGTAATTTTGACACATAATAGTGTGAGAGCAGCGAACCGCAACCCATCTGAACATGGAACGGTTCAGTGCTAAACCCAAAAACTCAGACTTTGGTAGTTTGCAGAGCCCCAGCGAAATGTTGTTTTGCCCTTTGGCAGCATCACAACAAGTTGGCCAACTGCATAACCATGTTTCGCTGTCTTTATGTGTTTTTGCATGGGTTAAAAAGTATCTCGACCAACGTAAAAAATGTTTCCACTGATTGCGTGGGCGTAGACGAGCAATGCTATTAACTGGTCGTGGTATGACCTCCCCCCTACCAGTACCGATAGTCTGCACTTTACTTTTTCTTCTTTCTGTTTTATGGTACATATATCAGTGCTTGTACCGCTTGAGGGCACACGGATTCACTTCACTCTCTTGTTTTTGTTGCTGTCTCCCGCCCATAATCGCATCAAGCGTAGATTTGTAATATGAAGCGGAAGAAATGGTTACAGCCCGCTGCCAGCCCACAGATAAATGAAAGTCATTGGAATTCGATTGCCAGAGCGATTTATAGGTAAGGTGCTACTGTAACCCTCCCTCGGGACATTGGGTGTTAACCCTATACGCTATAAAACTTTCATGTTAATAGAGAATACGAGGAGTATTGAATGGTCTAGACGTCGGGAAGAAGATTATAAAGTTTATATTAAGTTTTGGCTTTCCCGAAAGTGATTAATTGCATAAATACAGATTTATAAAATATTAGTTATAGCGAGATATTTTATATTAATATATAACTAAATCTCAGATAATTTTTGTATGGCGTGCGCTTATAATTCCCAATAAGTATAAACACATACCTTTTGACTTTGCAGTTGCTTAATCATAAGAAGAAATTCGAGTGTATGAAAAAGGAATGAAACGAGCGAAATTATCAACAAGGGGGAAGGGATAAAGAGAAAAATCGAAAATTGATAGGAATCCGTTCGATTAATCTCTCAAAAGATAAAAACCTGAAAAAGACAGAAAATTGACCGAAGAAAAATAGAAGAACACATAAATGAATTTATTTTACTGGATAAAAGGATATTTACGCTCTTAATTCTCAAATAGATTAAGTATGAAGATCTTAAGAAAAAGAACAGTAATAAGGATAAAATAAAGGGAGAAAGGGGGATAAAGTTAGCCACGAAATTAAAAAAAAAAATGCCAAACATAACCATTATAAAGCTTGAAAGTATGATTTTTAAGCTCTCGCGTGTTATAATTTTAAATACGGGCTTCTTTCAAACCCTTGGACAATATTTTCTATGGAAATTGTTAAAAATCTATAGTCACGCTGGAGTTGTGAAACTGTGCAAATGCAAGAACATCATCATTGCATCAATACTTGTCATCATGATTCAGCATAAATGCCAAGCAACAGCTCTGGAAAAACTTTGCTGTGCTTTGGGTATGTGTGTGTATTTGTGTTTTCCAAGCGGGGGTTGGGGATCTGTGTAGAAGTTTGTACTTTTAACGCCCAAACAGATTTGCCCGTATCAGTGGCAAAGCAGACGCTGTGGCTATCATGGATTGGACCGAGGGGAATGTGGAGAGCTGCCATTTAGCCACGTTTTGTTTGTCTTTTGAGCGCTTCTTGTGCCGTGCTTTTTGTGTGTTTCGTGTGCGCTTGTGTATCTTCGAAGCAATTTCTATCTACAATACACGCTCATTTACGCTGTCTGATAGCCCTCGGGCATATTCATATCCGTTGCCTTTTAGCCGGATACGCGACTCTGACTGCAACGGTGACTAGAGCTGAAAAACAAGCTGCGTGTGGCATGCATTTTGTTTGCTGATAAACTTGCTTTTAATATCCTTGAAAATATGCGAGTCCTTTTGCTGCTGCTTCGCTTTTTGCCATTGTCTAGGGGCAGGGCTTAACTAAAGTCTGTTGTATATACTAGGATTGTAATCCACTTTGTTTTTGCTGTTGTTTTTTTTTTTTTTTACTAAAAATTAGCTTGGCACAAAATTTTGCTCTTGGCATTGATTGCCTGATAACCTTCTATAATCCTGGTCTTTCTGTATTGTTTCGTCTTCCTTGGTACTAACATAAATGACTTTCTATTGAAACGCTGCTTTTTGCCATGTCTATGGCATTTTTATTGCGGTTTATTGGCAGCATCTATTCTTATGTTAACTAATTGTTTGGCATTTCCTTTTTGGTTTTTCCTTTTCATATTTCTTTTTTACGGTGTATATTGCTTAGATTGTTAAAAATTTGAATTATGGCAGCTTGCACAATTTGGGTTTGTTTGAATTCTAAAACTTTTAACTATAAATAAATGTATTTGTTTATTATGCGTTTTTAACACTTTTTACAGTAATCCAAAATAATATTTTATTGAATAAAATATCTATACGTAAAAGGAAATTAATCCAAACATTTATGTTCAAAGAAAACACATCGAAAAATTCAATTAATTGAAACAGGAAATATTTAAAATAATAATATTTTAAACAGTCGGATGCTTTTTCTACTTCTCGATCGATTTTAATAACTAATAAGGCATATCGAATTATCCAGCGTATACATTTATAATTAACATCCGATTTCTTAACTTTAAAAAAAAAAATTTTTTTTAAATTTTTCCGAACGTATCTTATAGTTAGCCAATATTTATCCAAATCATACATTGTCATCCGGGGTTAATAACATGCAACGTGGTGCAACGAACATCGAACGCTTCAACGGACCGAATCAAAGCGAACAGATAAACACGAACAACGAACCCAAAACAAACTAAAATAAATAAAAAAATCTTTTAAAAGAAAATATATGGCTTGCTTATCAATGTACATATTGTATAATTACACTAAGAAAACTAAGCCAAACGATATATATATATAAATTTATGTTAATTAATGAAAATCACTTAACTTTATTTCTATAATTTTTTGTGGAGATGAGCAAAAAATACTTTAAATATGTAAATATATTTTAAACTTTTTAGGTTTTCTGCATTTAATGATGATTATTTCGAGAATCTCATAACTATATAATAAATATTAATTAAAAATATTTCGTGCGGTATTTTTTTTAAAAATTTTTATTTAATGATAACTAGAAAGAAATTTATATATTCTTCCTTTGCTGTATTTACATAATTGCACTAATTAGGCGAGGATCAAAAAATAAACAAGATATTTAAAATTGGTTGACCAGATTCTGAAGTAAATTAAAAATGCAGGTTACCCTATAAAAAAAAAATTAAAAAAATTACAGATTTAACATTTTTTTAAATCGATTATTATTCCGAGAGTTTTAAAGAAGGATTATATTAATAAATTCAAATACAGTTCATTTATATTTTATTCATGATTTTTGGACGGTTTTTCCTTTATCAGAGAATTTAATATAAATATTTCTCTGTATTATTCACTAAAAATCACATGATTCGTATTACTTTTATTTATATAATTATTGATGAACTCCAGTTCAACTTGTTCTTGCTAAACTTTCTATCTGTTTGATATATTCGTCAATTTTACGTAGGAATTCTGCAAAAAGTTTCTCGAACTCTCTGGAAACTGTCCAATGCTGAAATATGAGATACTTCGTATGTATTTTTAAAAAGCCAAAACTATTTCAATATTCAAAAGCTAACCAAATTTTTATTGCAACAAAGTTCACTTGCGTTATAAAAAGTATTATTTTTCCACTATAATAAATAAATTAAGATTAACAACTATCGAAAAACTTAATTAATACCAAACAAAATCGATCTGAGCGTATTTGCAACAATGAAAGCTCGTATTTTGACTTTCCGAAATTCTTACCACTGTTAAGGAGATATCAAACAAAAACCTATGACACACGTTTAAATTTTGCTTTTTGTTTTTGGTCACAAGTCTAGGCTTGTTTAATGCGATTAATTAAATGAAATTTAAGAAAATATAAATATAAATATATAGTTTATAAAAATAAAAAAAGACTCCAATTAAAAGAAGAATTTGCAGTAAACATTAGAGAGCATTTGCGAACGAAGAAGACTTCTGTTTGATCATCATTTGGGTAAATTTAAGTGACTTCATGTGCCAACTATTCCAAGAAATTCTCGGTTTATGTCGTGCACCTTTCGAGGTATAAGGTCCATTTAAATCGCTTAATAAAAAAAAAAAAGGAAAAATATGAAGAAATATGAAAGGTAAAACAAGTCTTAAAATTCAATAATATGTTTACCAGTGAGAACAGTTATAAAACCACCATCCAGACTCGTAAGTACGAGCACAGTTTGTCACAGCAATATCATTATCGCGATCTGATGTTGAAAAATTTCGGTGTAAATGATACTTGAAGGAATCACCAGTATTTCCTGTAAAATCTCCAAGCATTTTTATCTTATACAACTCTGTCTCGTTGCCAATAACAAAGTTACTGTATCGGACATAACGGGTTTCATTTTGAAAGTCCTCTAGAGATATATATAATTCGTGAGGTTGCGATTGGGTCAGTTTATGGAGTTTCTCGAGTCCGATAAAGAACTCGCCTCGCAAATCCCCAAAACCTGCCTTGTACTCATCCCAGCCTCGGTTAAAGGTCACACTGCCATTAATACGGCGTTGAATAACGATCCACCCGGAACCGGCGAACTTCGAGTCACAGGACACGGAGAATGGATACATATCGGGTACCTTTATCGCATACACACCACTTGGTTTTCGTAGGCAGTTAGGGATTATAGACATAGCTTTGAACTCTGAAAGTTTCGATTCAAGTTGTTTGATCTTGGCCACATTTAATTCATTATCTTCATGCTTAGATCTTGATATCTTTAATTCTTTATCTTTTTCATTGATTTGGGAATCTGCCGATTTAATTTTGGATTCCAAATTAGTTATAAGAACACCATTTGAGACGAGTTGTTCCTCCAGCTCTGTAATATTGCTCTTATACGAGGCGGTCAATTCGATTTGTTGGGTCAGTTGAAGGTCCTTTTGCCTGATTGTTTCGCTCATCGCATTACACTCTGAGAGTTTCGATTCAAGTTGTTTGATCTTGGCAACATTTAATTCATTATTTTCGTGCTTCGATAGCGATTTTTTTAGTTCTTTATCTTGTTCGTTGATTTGGGAATCTGCCGATTTAACTTTGGATTGCAGATTATTTATAAGAACATCATTTGAGACGAGCTGTTTCTCTAACAGTGCATTATTGCTCTTATACAAGGCGGTCAGTTCGATTTGTTGAGTCAGTTGAAGATCCTTTTGCCTGATAGTTTCCCTCAAATTAAATACAGTCGCCTTTTGCTCATTGATTTTACTCTCTAACTCTGCGAATTGTTCTTCCTTTGCACGTATAGAGGCTGCGTAGCTAAGAAGCGGTTTAACCACTTTATAGCAGTAGGTTCCGCACTCCGAATCCTTCTCTCTCGAATCCCTTGTGCACTGCGTTTAACTTTAAATTAGAATCCAAATAATTGACATTACATTTGAGACACCAACCGAGTCATTTGTCGATACTCCATTTGATTGAACTAGTAAGGGCATTAATAAAAGTGCCCATTGCTTAAAATGTATTCCCATTTTCAGCTAATTAATTCGAGACTTGCAACCGTTGCTCAGCGTTAGAAATTATAAACTGAAACTGCGAATCCCATTAAAACAACAGATTTTAATATTTTCAAGGAATTATCAACGTGTGAGATTGTTGAATAATAAAGATGAGTTTTTTGTGTTATCAGTAAAAATGTGAAATGGATTTGAATGACGAGTAGCTACCCTGTAGTTGATCGCTCTAATGTGACTGAAAAATATATTTATGGAACATTTGAATAAGCAAGGAGCCATCAATATATATTCAAAATTAGTTGTTAGTTCAAAATTTAAAATAAAAATAATTTAAAAACACCTTTTTGTTTGTAAAATGTTAAAATTTTTTTAAAATATGCACAATACGATTATTCCTAACAATCATTTTTTCGAATTTGAACCATGGAACTCTTTAACATAGCATTTAAAAAAGAATTTATAATAAATGACATATAATGTAAATATTATAACTAATGATATATAAATATTAATAATATGATTATAATTATTCTTTTATTATGTGCAGTAGATAATATTAAAAACTATCGAAGATCATTCAAAAATATCTTTCACTTTTGTCAACCAACAAATTGGTCTAGTTTTTATTTATTACTATATTTAATTATTTCTTATTGATTTTCCCTTTTCTCTAGTCTTAGTCCTCGTTTGAATGTCCTTTGTCTAGCGTTCATTAGTTAAGGGTCTAGCATATTTTATTTTTTGTCTGCGATTTCCTTTGATAATTAATCTGCGTACTTAAGCTTTGCGTGCGTGTGTGTGTGTTTGTTCTTGTTGTGCGTGTTGTGTGTGGGTGTGTCTGCTGCTTGTAATGTTTATATTAGCAACTTGTGTGATAATGCTTGGAGGAGGTCTCAAGCATACCCCTGCCCCATCTCCCGAGCGGATATGAGGTCTCGTGTAGTGCAAGCAACATAATTACCGAGAACACAATATTTTTGCTTCCCTTAATGTTGAATTGTGCGTGAAATGAGTCTGTGATTAAAGATGCGCGCGTGTCTTGCCGTGTCATGGGGTCACGACATAAATACATATAAAATGTTGCTAAACAGATACCAAAATGGAAAATAATACATATATACATACGCACATATATATATACTAGCGGGTATAACCCGGCCTTGCCCGTGGAACGTATGTTAAAAATCAACGTTCTCAAAAAGCTTTGAAAATGATTTTGAAACTTATCGGACGGTAAACAAACAATTTTCATAGAAACGTTTTCTGCCAATTTACCACTGTTGCGAGTGGAATTTCCCAAATCGCTGAAACACGTATTCATTACATTCTTATGTAGAGCTTTGAAAATAAGTTTGAAGCAAATCGGACACAATTTAAAACTTCGCACAAAAAATCTTAGAGTCGCATTCCACCCGAAAAAGTTTGGATTCTGCGAAAAGTGTGAAACACGTCTCATATGATTTTTCTTATAGTTCTTTGCAAACGAATTTGAGCGCGAAACGTCACCCACCAAATTTTTGACCTCCATTTCCACCAAGGAGGAACGGATTTTTCGAAAAGTGTGAAACACCCCTCAAATGAATTTTAACAAATATCTTTGAAAATAAGTTTGGGTCCGATCGGATCGTAAACAAAAAACTTTCATACAACCGTTTTCCGCCAAGTTACCACTGTTACGGGTGGAATTTCCCAAATCGCTAAAATACGTGTTTATTAAGTTCTTATGTAGAGCTTTGAAAATAAGTTTGAAGCAAATCGGACACAACTTAAAACTTCGCCCAAACTTCACCCCTCAAATGAATTTGAAGAAAGATCTTTGAAAATAAGTTTGAGGCCGATCCGATGGTAAAAAAAAAAAGGTACATACAAACGTTTTTCGCGATTTTTCCACACTTGCGGGTGGAATTTCCCGAAACCCCGTCTTAACGTGCACCTACATTACATAAGGTAACTACAGTGAAAATTTCAGCTTCCTAGCTCTTACGGTTTGGGCTGTGCGTTGATCACCAATGAGTCAGTCAGGCAGGACAAACAGTTTTATATATAGAGATAATAATATTCGATTTGACAGAGGCTATAGTTTATTTAAAATTTATGAAACGAAAATACAAAAAGCATTGTTTGTATTCGCAATATTTTGTTTTCAATAATTAAATATAAATTCAATTGTTAATTTACAGAGTCTTACTCGTATGACTACAAGGGTATTTATTATTCGGTGTTTTTTGATTTGATTGGTTCGTCCCTTTATTTTCTTGTGTACTAATTTTAAGCCATTTACGTTGTCGGCCTTTGCGTTTGCCATTCCAATTTGTCCTGCAAAGCCAATAAAGATTGCAAAAGTCAAATGAAAACACCCACAAAAGTCACGTTAATGCCTCTGCAATTTCAATTTGCGTTTCGAATCCGTAGAATTTAATTTTTTTCGCCAGTTCATGAATTCGTTTTATTCGCTTTTTCATTTGTTTTATTTTGTTTTGGGTCTGGTGACGAGCGCAAAATGTTGTCACCAAATGCAATCAAAAGCTAAAAATCTATTATTCAAGACGCCCTACATTTTTAATTCAGAGGTAGAGCGCTACCCACAGTATACAAAATATTAAGCGTTTTGTACATATAATACCGAAGTTTGACCACACTTTGTTGAGATTTATTATCTTTAACTTCAAGATCATATCAAGGTATAGTGAAAAATATGTTTTTAAAAGGCAGATACTTTACTTATTGTGTAGTTTATAAAAATTATTGATTTTATTATTATTATTATTTATTCATTTTAAGTATATACATATTTGTTTATATGCTGTCTTCAATAAAGAACTTAATACTTTGTTTAGAAGTGAATGTGCAAATTATAAGTATAACAAATATTACATTTTATTACATTACATTCAAAATACCATTCACGAGACCAAGCAAATCGCAAAGTGGTTAAAGTTAAGGGAAAGACACAAAATCTGTAAGACCGGCAAGAATATTGTAGCGCATCGCAGCGAATTTCTCATCGTCTTTGTACTAGCAGAAGTGTTGCCGTTGTGGTAGGGGAAAGCGGCGAGGGGCGAGGTTCAGGGCGCAAATACTCAAAGTGTCAGATGTAGGAGTCAAGGATTTCTCTTCTTTTACTTATTTTTTTTTTTTTGAAAGAGTTCTTGTTGGAACTTTGTTCATTGTCATTTCTCGACGACGAGTACGAATCGTTTGCTGCCAGTTGTGACAACAACTGAAATTGGAAAAAAGGCGAAATTAAGTCTGGAACATGAAATAAAGATGAAGCGAGTGTCGAACAGTTGAGTCAGTCACCACGAGAATTGAGACATGGCAATATGTTGGGACTCGTGTTGGGGGGTTTTAAGGAGAAATTAAAATTTGTTTGTCTGTTTGGTTCTCGTATGTTCTGGTTGGGAGTATTCCATATGCGGATTTTAGTTTTGTTTTATGCTGAGCAAACCAATTACACAGTGCGAAATAAATATGAACTAATAAAATATTTATCTTTATATGTTAAATACTTATGTAAATCTATAAGCCAAAGCAATATTTTGTATTAATTTATATAAAATAGCCACACATGCTTGTCAACAAATATAAATGTGTATCGTTTAATATACAAAATAATCCTTATCGATTTATATATATTCAAATACTTTTAACAGACGCTTATACGTATATTTATATTCATAGAGAATGAATATTAGAGAAAGAAAAAATGTATTTTTAAATGTTTATTGTTGAAGGTACCAAAATACGATACTATAAATAAAAAGATTCGTGTTTAATTTTTACTAGATGAAAACATTTTGTATTGCTCAAATCAATTCATAATAAATATAAAATATAATATCGTACCGAGTATCGATAGTATTTAGGAATTGTATACAGTACGTCAATAAATTGTTTTTACTAGAAAAAAAATACAGTAAAAAATTTTTTTAAGTAACGCAATTATGAGTTTATATTGCATAAGGTAAAGTTAACCACTATTAACCACTATTTATATTTATTTATTAATTTTAATATTTATCAGCACACTCGATTTCTTTCAGTGTATGCGCCCTACAGTAAATCGTTTTTATGACTTATCCCCCGCTGTGTCGTTGTCTTTAGCTTGCCTACTGCTGCTTTTGCTGGTGCTGCTGACTATTTGTCTCCTTCAATTCGTAATCATTTAAATTGATTTTTCTTGTCTTTGACGTTGTTCAACCTTCCAATCAACTCAAAGCCATTGAGTCAGGCTCTCTGTCTCTCTCTTTCCCTCTTTCTCTTTACTGCATCGTCTTAATTGATGAATTTCTGCCTGCCGACTGCTGCAGCTGGCTGATAAGTATCGTAGCCAATCTATCTATGGTCGCCCACACAGCAGCAGCAGCAGGAGATACGTTTTATGCTGGTTCGTTTTTCTAAATTCCTTATCTGTATATTCCCTTCTTTCTTTTTTTTATTTTTATTTTTATATTGTATTAGCAACTGACCCAAACTTGTCCTTCAGCTTGTGGCCATTGACCTTTGACTGGCTCGTTAAGTGTTGCCAATCTCTGTACGAGTCGAGGATGCAAATGGCTGGCAACCACATGCATATAAAAGGCAAGCTCACCTGCCCCGAATGAAATTGCCGCATTTTGAGTTTGAGATGCAAAGCAATTACCTAAATAAAAACCATTATTAATATTGCATGTCACACAATATCAGTAAAGGGAGCTGGACTGGGCGTTGGAGCCCTTGGGCGTTCTATAATTGAGATTGATGCAATTGCATATAAAATTCATATAAATTACTTGAGACTTAACTCCCCGAGGTGCCCCACACGACACACAGCTGCGAGTGTGTTTGCATTTCGGTTAACTCTAACCAGTTTGTGCCGTTGCAACTTTGCCCAAATGACTCATAAACAGAGTGAACAGGCCAGCACTGAGTGTAAAATAATCACAGGGTGAACCATGTGTGGCCTCTAAACTCGAAAGCTCATCAAGCACATGAACTTGAAAAGTTGTTCGTTTTACGAAAGTCTTTAGTTCCTAACTGAATACATTTTAATA